CAAGACAATCGATGCACACCACATCCTCTTTAAGAGCCCTCAAAACAAAAACCCAGTCCATGGATCATAGCCCACGGCTCTCTTAGAAACTGAGATGACCTGAGGTAACCATCTTCTGCTGCCCTCACGTGCTACAGTTGTGTGCTGGGGGAGGAAGGTGGCCATGCATGCAATGAGTATTACCTTTACCAGGTTTAAGTCACATGTTGGCCATCTCACAAGGAAAGAGTGTCTCAGAGAAGTTAATTCAACTGTCCAAAGTCACAGAGATGATAACTGGAGCAGTCAGGATGGTACAGACTGCTATAATCCTGTTTGGAAATGAGGGGTTTTTTTTTTTGTAGAGTAGACCCTAAACTTGGTCACTTCCAAGTGTAGAAAGACTAGAAAAAATACACACACACACACACACACACACACATGGCAGTAATCACATTAGGATTGTCTACAAAGCAAAGAATACCAATGAAACAAAGGATGTCTAGGACTGCTGACATGAAAACAAATGACACAAACAAGACACTGATTTAAACATTAAAACTCTAGAGCAGTGAAAGAATGAATCTATATTCTTTAAAACCACCCCTTGTGGAATCTGTGTTATAGTAGCACTAGGTAACTTGATACAATATTCTAACTGAAGTTCATTCTGCTTTTATGCAAACCCCTCTTGCAACTACAATATATGCAAACTTCTACAGGACCTGCCTGATCTGCCCTCTGACTGTCTCTTTCGCTACACCTCTTCCCTTCTTCTACCCGTGCCCTCTCCTTTCCAGCCATACTACCTTTCTTGCTGTTCCTGGGGATCAACAGGTCCTTTTTTCAGGCCCATCACACTCGCTAGTCCCTTGAACTACAATGCCTTCGGGGTCTCTCTTATTACATCAAGGCCTCTACTCAAATGCCACCTACTCACTAGTTCTCAGCACCCTTTCTCCCATCACTCTTGTTAACCCTTATCTTACCTGAAAGCATGCATTTGGCTACTAATTAACTGCTCCCACTGGCATGCAAGGTCTATACAGGCTGGGGCTTAGCATCATTCCCTGCCTAATGGGGTGAACCAGACTAGTGCTGGATGTGTGGCCAATATTGACCAAAGTGATGATGGATAAATAAATGCATGACTGGAAACCTCCTTTCTCCTCTGCTTCACCACATGGCTCCTGCTCATCAGATCTACTGTAGCATAGGGGCTCTGAATCCTCAGACAAGCCATTTCAACTTTCAAAAGAAACCTTCTATTTGCCAAGTGGGCCCTGCCTGACAATGGCCTGCTATTTCATGCCTCCCTAAAGATAGCATCGTCCGCTTTCTCTGATCTGATAACTGTGTGACACTGCCAGTTTTAGAAGTTTGTGATTTTATCAGAGAAAAGATATTTAGGGCAATCGATGAAACAAAAAGATAATTATATTTCATAAAAAGGGAATAAAACTCTTCAAAACAACCCATTTTCTGTTTACTGCTCAATGAGACAATCAGTTCATTTAATGCTTTCCAGCATCAGTTCAAGGCAGATAGAAATAGACTCTTATGTGAGGATTTTATAAAGTCATGTTATCTGGGAATTCAACCAACTAGAGAACTTCTGAAAGTGGAATTTCTGAGATTCCACTGATATATATTTCCAAGCTTACAAAAGGATTGTAGGAGAAGCAAATCATAATCCAAAAGATGGTTGGTATTCAACATAAAACTTTCCAAGATAACGTTATCTCTGTTGATAGATCTTCACTTGTCTTCATAGACACTCACTGATCCATCTCATAATGTCACCTAGTTTCTGGAGGATAATTCATTTTATGTAAACCATCTTACACTCTGTGTAAAAGCATAAAACATTACACAATATAGCTAACCCTGGAGGACATCATGCTGAGTGAAATATCTCAGTCACAAAAGGACAAATACTGCCTAACACCACTGTTATAAAGCAGGACTAACATGGTGGTCGGGGGGAAACTAAGAAAAAGTAGTAAATAAAGTAAGGTAAATGTGCAACACTAAATGAGTGAAAATCCAACTTCTCTGTAAAAGTTCGTTAAAATCCCAATTTAAAAAGCATTTGACTCCACTATGTAATCTTCATTCTGGACTCTTGTCATAACCATAATACCCAATCATATACCGCTTTTAAACTGTTGGAGTGTACTGGGGACGGGATGAGCGGGTAACAGACGAACTGTATACCAAGGAAGGAATTTTACTTTTCAAAGAGAAGAGCTAACTGGGGGTGGGGGGGGTGGGCAGGGAGAAAAATGCAACAATGAATGAATGGAAATCCAAAATCTCTGTAAATGTTCATTAAAATTAATAAAATAAAATTTTTTAAAAAGTATAGCATCAGGATGGATGGCGAAGAGATTGCGATTGTTCACAGCTTCAGTTTGCTCCGCTCCACGGTCAACACTCTTGGCAAAAGCAGCCAGGAAATAAAAAAACATATTGCAATGGGAAAGTCTGCGGTTAGGGACCTCTCTAAAGCATTCAAGAGCAACGGTGTCTCTCTGGAGACTAAGGTGTGCCTGATACAGGTCATGGTCTTTGCAATCACTTGTTATGCATCAGAGAGTTGGACAATGACTAGGGAGGATAGAAGGAGAATTGACACCTTTGAGCTGTGGTGCTGGAGAAGAGTATGAATGTTCTATGGACTGCCAAGAAAACAAACGGATCCATCCGAAAGAGGGTTAAACCAGGCTACTCCTTGGAGGCAAGGATTCTGGGGCTTCATCTGATATACTCTGAACATGCTGTAAGGAGAGACAGGTCCTTGGAGAGGAACATCATGCTTGGTAGGGTGGAGGGACAGCACAGGAGGGGAAGACCCTCTATGAGGTGGATTGATTCAGTGACTGGGGTAATCGGGATGGGTGTGTCAGAGGCAATGCGACTGGTACAGGATAGAGCAGGGTTTAGGGCTGTTGTACATAGGGTCACTATGAGGCGCAAATGACTCGATGGCACATAACAACAACAACAATTTGAAAGTAAACAGAGGGCATTTTAAAAACTTGGGTTACTTTGAGCTTTTTTCCCTAGAGTCTCTGTGAATATTGGTGTAGAAATTGCTGCTGGTATCAGAGAGTTGTTGTTTCCTGGACCTTCTTAGTTTTTCTCTCCTTTTTACAAAACTCCCTCTTGCTTCCATGGAATTGGAATTGACTCACAATTGACCCTCCAGTGAATTTTGCAAGGTTGTATACAACAGGAGAGAAGATAGTCCACCATTCTCTCTTGAAACTCAGTTCCTGTGAGTCAGACCCCACTCATAGCTGACACTCCGGCAGGTTTTCAGAGATGAGTCAGTAGTAAGGAGTTGTGCTGCCAACCTCAAAGCAGCTAGTTCAAACCCACCTGCTACTTCATAGGAGAAAGACGAGAAATATCCTCCCATGTGATTTACTGCCTCTGAGAACCTGATGGAGGGCCACCTATGAATCGGTTCCAACTCATTGGTACACAACAGCAACAATAAATCCTGTAGAAGAAAAATGCCCATTTTTCTCCTGAGGATTCAAACTGCCAGGGAGGTACAGCCTCTAACTTCACGAGAAGTCTTGGCTCTGAAGTGTGATCAGGCTCAGAGGGCAAAATACCAGAGAAATAAGAGCATGGTCTTCTAGGAAAATGTAAATTAACTTTATAGTTGATAACAAATTTAATCAGTTCATACACTCCCTGGCTTTCACAAGGTGGATGATAAAAAGCTTCGCAGTGTAAGCCAAACATAAGAAAAGATAAAATGACCAAAGTGATAGTGGATAAATAAATGTATGACTGGGGACTTCCTTTCTCCTTTCTCCTCTAGTTCACTTCTAAAGGAAGAAAGGAAAAGCAGTTCATATTCGTTTTGGATTCCAGCTCTTGGCCTCCGTAGATGTTACCGAGTAAAACATAAAGGGTAGAGATGGGAAATAACGTGGGGGAGTGAACACAGCAAAGAGCTGCATGTCTGTGTGCGGAGATCACAGGGTGCCTGCACGACTGCCTCTTCACTGTATCCTAGAACCACTGCTCTCTGCTTCAAGATCTCTCCTTTAGATTTCATCTTAAATTTGGAATATTCCTGACACTTCCAATGAGCCATCAAGTATACACACTGCTTAGCATTAACAATGACGTTATCTGATATTCAAATATGAATTTCCTTCATATCACATGTTAACACGCGCACGCGCACACACACACACATTTATTGATCTTTCTATTTATACGTCTATATATAATTGCTGTTGAATAAGAACTGATGTACAGCTGACCCTCACAGGAGGAAAGGACCCATTTCCCTCGAAACCACTGGTGCACTGGAGCAGTCACAGAAGTGCAACTGAACTCCATAACTCCACGTGGGCTACACCACCAGAACCCCTCACATACTCATGTGGTGGTCGTGGTACATATTGCTGAGTTGGAGACGGCAGAGAGCTGATCCTCCAGTAGGTTTTCAGACGCAGTAAATCATGCAGGAGGAGCATGCCCCAGCTTTTTCCCTTTGAGTAGCTAGTGGATTTGAACAAGTACCTTTGGTTTGCAGCACACCTTTTTTCATTAAGCCACCAAAGTTCCATACATATATATTCACATACATCAAATTTTTATGGCTTAGGCAATCTTCTAAACGGTAGGGGGGCAGGGGGAGAGAAAGCAGGTTTAGTGATATTTCGAAGTATCACCAAAAATCTTGTGCCAGAGATAGGTAAAGTGCTACTGGCACAGGTCACATCTGGCTAACTGATGAAACACATTCTCTGCTGTGTATATGTATTGGATACATTAGGCTCCATTCTCAAATAATCTTAGGGAATATATTTAGGTTCCATTCCCAAATAATCTGAGGGAATATCTCCCAAGAACATTTCCCTTTATTAAAGAGTTCTGTTTCTTTATCAAAGAGGAAAACTAGACAATATTTATTACATAATAAGGAATAAAATAATGACATGTAGCCTCTAGCAACCAAAACATGTGCATTTTTATTATATTCAACTTACCTTTTCATTCCATGCCCACAGTCCAATTCCAAGAAATGCTATTCCCAAGAACTAAAAGAAAGCAAAAAAGCAGTATAAGTATAGGGGTAAACATTATGTCTTTACTAACACAAATATGACAGTTTGCAATCAATTCTTTTATGTATTTTCCTGACTCTGAATTGCAACTTTTACCAGGAAATGAACTACCATAATATTTTTTGCCTAACATTACATAATTACCAAAGGCTGCAGACATGCGAGTATTCAAGACACTCATATTATTAAGAGCAATACTCGGGCAGACTCTTAAGTAAAATCAAGACATGGATAATGTTCAATGGCTGCCACCTGGATTTGAAGGGAGATTGTGATGGCTCAATGAATCTGTATCTGCTGGAGCTCACCAGAAAATAGATAGCTAGAGGCATGGATTTAGAAGATGTCTGAAACCCTGTGCTGGTGCCACTTCCCTCACCATCATGCCATCATTAAATGATCTAGGTCAAATTGGAAATGGAGAAGTCATGTCTTCAAATTCAACTCCAAAACAATTCCTAGACTCTTCTCTCTTTTAGAAGCCTATTGCAATTGATTTAGAGGGCTTTCACAATTCTTTCTGACTTCGACTCCATCCTGGGCTTCATGTGAAACATGGAGTACACGTGCACCAGGTGGGACTGGGTTAAAGATATAAAAGCACATTGGGTCTCCCCGCAGAGGACCATAGCGAACATCATCAAATATCTCATCAACACAACTCGTTGTTGAATTAGAAACAACACAATGGGTTTTCAGGAGGCTGTAAATCTCACAGGAAGAAACTGCCCATCTTTCTCCCACAGAGCAGGCAGCTGATTCTAACCACTTGCCTTTGAGCTGGAAGCTCAATTCCTTTCCCACTAGGCCACCAGAGCTTCCTTAGTTTCATTAATTAGCCTTTTGCATAGTGGGAAGGGAAAAGAGGGGAACCGGCTAGTACCCAGAAGAACTTTCCATTTTAATTAATTTTTCCTGTATTCTATCTGCTCTGAGACACCACATTTTCCCATCTCTAAAACTGGAATGTGGCTCAAAGCCTGTGGTATCTCATATTTTAATTGCTGACTTTTTCTTTGCTTGATTGTACCTAACATAGGAATGTGTTTTATAATCTGGGTGTCGTAGACTTGATGACACATTGTGCAAGGCTGTCCGCCCACTAGGAGCCCAATAATCAGTACTAGGTGTAATTGGCCATGAGGAAAGACAATTTTATTCCTCTTTCTTAAAAAAAATTAAAATAAAATGAAGCAACTCTGCATTTCCTTTTCAAAAACCAAAGTGAAAGGAGAGTGGGCAGGTTGACAGCATTTCAGTCTGATGATAGGAGCACACACCAGTTATTTTACTAACATCTTGATTAAGTTAAATGTCAGGAAGGCCATCCACTGAGAAGGGCACTCAGAGAAAACAAGTGTGTTTGTGGTTATTCTTCACAGTTCGTGGGAAATGGAGAGCCCCCCACCTGGGCAGGCTGTCATCATTCACAGCAGGGGGGTGTTGACACTTCCTAGGTAATGGCTCAGGAATCCAAATGGGAATGGGAAATAGAGTCAGTGGAAGGAAGGGAATGGAAGGAGAAAGCAAGGAACAAAAAGGAAATAAAAATGGAGTGGTAGTTTTGCTATCAACTTCCTACTTATAGGATAATCAATGCTTTCTGACCCTCAACTGTGCTGCCAACCTAAAGGCGGGTGGTTCAAATTCACCAGCAGCTCCATGGAAGAAAGATGGACAGTTTCCTCCTGTGAGATTTATAGCCTTTGAAAACGTGTCAGGGGGTCTACTATGAGTCAGTTCCTATTCCATGGTCCATAACCACAATATGCAGAAAAGCTTCAGGTTGTGCAAATAATTAACGTGCTCAGTTGTCAACTGAAATGTTGGAGGTTCGAGTCCACACAGAAGTACCTCAAAAGAATAGCTCTACTTCCAAAGAGTCAGTTCTTGAAAATTCAATAGAACACAGTTCTGTTCTGGCATACTTGGGGTCACTACAAGTGGGAACCAACTTGTGGGAACCAAGTGGTAACTGTGTGAAAAGTGTTTGTTGTTGTCCACCAGGTCAGAACTGACTCACAGCTGCTGACCCTCCAGCAGGTTTTCAGGGGCTGTGAATCACGCGGGCAGAGACTGCCCACCTTTCTCTTGCAGAGCAGCTGGTCAATTGGACGTGTACCTTTGTGATCCCAGCACAATTCCCAAGTCGTCAAAGCTTTCTGGAAAATGTTTAAAAAGGTTTTTATTTCTTTGCTTTCAAGACTTCAAACTATTTTCCCACACAGGGGGAAATACACGTTACATTTCAGGACCAAGACATAAATGAATCAGTACCTCAAATGACTAAAAAGTACTTGGTTCTCTGCAGTATGAAAAGAAAACAATGCAGAACGTCTTTCTCCTATTTCTAGGTCCTGTGAACCAGAGATCCGGCAATGGCTCATCAGGAGAACAATAAGCACTCGTCTCCTGTTCCATCTACAGCCTCAGAAACACAAGGGAGGGTCACCTATGAGTCAATTCTGACCTAATGGCAGTGAGAGAGAGAGAGAACAAGAAGGTAAGAACTGGCCAATGAACACGTGGAAGCCCATCAGATGTAGAACATACGGGACATACGGGAGTTAAGGATTCAGTTTGACATATGACATCAAACTCACCACAATGAAATGTATTACTTTCTAACTCTAGAGTTTTTCATGGGCAAATTTCTCATTACTTCCCCTTTTGATGGTCAGTCTTATATGGCAACTTGGGTAGGCTACATTGTCCAGTTTTTAAAGCAAATTGGGCTTTTAAAAGCAAAAGGTGTTGCTATGTACTACTCTGTAAATAAGGACCACCATTTATAATCAGTTACCTTAAGAAGAATGTTCTCACTAAATTGACTGGGCCTCCTCCAGTCAATTAAGGTCTTAAGAGCAGACACTGAGGTTTCCAGGAGGAAAAGAAATTCTTCCTCAAGACAGTAAGATAGATAGCCTGCCTGACTTTGCACCCTATCTTAATATTTCAGACTCAAAACTGCAGTATCAATTCTTGTCAGAGGTTAGATATACATTGTGTGCATGTACAAATCAAAAAGTCACCATCAAGTTGATTCCAATCTACACTGAACTCATGTGCTGCAGAGTAGAACCACAGGGGTTTTTAAGGCCATGACCTTTGGGAAGCAGACTGCCAGGACTTTCTTCCAATGTGTTTCTGGGTGGGTTTCAATCACCAACAATTCAATTAGTAGTCAAGCATTTACCCATTTGTGCCACTCATGTGTTCCTAGAGTTTCTGTTTCTCTAGAAAGCCCTGGTTCTGCTCTGACCCAGTATTTAATCACAGAGGAAACCCAGAACTGGGCAGGACATTGTGATCAGCCATGTCTCCTGCTGAAGAGCACAGACATGTCACAGCTGAGGATCCCAGTCTAATCACTAGCATTCACTGAAGCTCTTATTACTTGCCACATACTATGCTTACTGCTTTGCATCTACTATCTGCTTGCAGCTTTAAAATATTTTTCTAAATGTTGTTGCTACCTACTGTCGAGTCGACTCACAGTGACCCTATATGTACAAGAACCCTAAACCCTGCTCTATCCTGTGCCAACCTCATTACCTCCGACACCCCTACACCCACTACCCCAATCACTGAATCGATCCATTTCATCAAGGATCTTCCTCTTCTGCACTGTACCTCCATTTTCCCAAACATGATGTCCCTCTCCAAGGACTGGTCCCTCCTTGCAAAATGCCCAAAGTATGTCAGACGAAGTTTCAGAATCCTTGACTCCAAAGAGCAGCCTGGCTTCACCCTCTCCAGGACAAAACTGTTTGTTCTCCTAAAAGTCCATGGTGTATTATTCAACACTCTTCTCCAGCACCACAATTCAAAGGCATCAATTCTCTTTCTATCATCCCTAGTCACTGTCCTGCTTTCTGATGCATAATAGCACACAACTGCGTAGACTCTAGCCCAGATCAGGTGCACCTTAGTCTCCAGCCTGACATCATTGTTCATTACTCTGGAGAGGTCCCTCACAGCTGACTTTCCCAATGCAATTCATCTCTTGATTTCCTGGCTGCTGGTACCAAGAGTGCTGACTGTGGAACAAAGCAAACTGAAACTGTTATATCAATCTCTTCACCATCCATACGGATGCTGCCAATTGATCCAGTGATGAGAATCTTTCTTCTACTTCTAAATAAGATTTTTAATATTATGTATCTTATAGGGAACATAGAAAAGAAGAAAAAGAGGCTTAAAGAGTTTCTGTAACTTTGTTCAAAGGCATCCAGCTTCTAAGAGGAGGAGTGAGATTTTAACCATGATGATTCCGATATCAAAGTAAATATTCAAAGTTAACCCACTGCTGTGAAATCCAGTCAGGCTTATGGTGACCTTGCACCAGGTGTCTGAGGCTGTACATCCTTACAGAAGAAAACAATCTGTCTTTCCCCTGTGGAGTAGCTAGTAGGGATAAAATGCCAATCTCTTGGGAGCAGCCCAACCCTTAATCTCCTATGCCACCAGTTCTCCTTTCAAGGTAAATAGTCCCTGATAAAAGCTGAGGCATGAGAGTTAGTATTATAAGTAAGAGGCACCATGAGGTTATCATATATGTCTTCCTCAAAGAGCAAAGGGGAGCTTAGGTACTAAAAGAAATGAAAATGCTGCCTTCACATGCGGTTGGGGAACCAAAATGCTTCCTGCCAGCGCCAGCACTGGATTCAAGCAGAATGGATTCAATGGTGGTTCTGCTTTCTCCTTCTTAAATAAAGTTTTCTCCTTTCTCCTTGGCACTTATAAAGCTCCAACAAACAAACTTGCGTCAACAAATTTTAATCCAATGCTTTTACAGACAGAGAAGGACACAAAGGCTGGATTAAAAGAAGAGTCACAACAAATATCGGATGTATACTTCCAGTAATTTCTCCTTTTACTGCTGTCACTTTCCAAACGAGGCTTTAAGAATTTGGAAGAAGAATGCTAGGCGTGAAGGCGAATACTCAGTACCTAAACATGGAAGTGGTACA